ATGAATAGTAGTTAAACGAACTACAAACATATTAACGCCAAACATTCGGTAGAATTTATAGAATATTGTAAAAATTATGGTCTATTACCAACATATATATATATATATATATATATATATATATATATATATATATATATAATTTATTATTATACAAACATTTATAAAGCGCCAATTAAATCAGTATCTAAAAGGCTCTATGCAACTGGAAGCATGCACTTTAACATCCAATAGTTATAATGAATAATTAAATCAGTGTAAGTGAATTGGTGACAAGATGGTGAAATAGTTGGAGGTCCTGTTTAATCCTGCATTGCACCTTGGATTGCCATTAAGAGTTAATTACAAAGTTACCAGAACTAACTCATTATATACAAAAAAATAAAAGTATGCGATAGCAATAATCTGCTCTTATAAATACATTCACGACAGTATCCAAAAACACAATTACCAAATTGACAAAATGAACCACTTTCCAAATGAATGAATTCGCAACAACATTCGCTCACAATAATAAAAGAACCGAATAAACAAGTAAACATTCACCAAGTAAATAAGTGTACAATAATAACAAATTGCAGAAATAACGGATCAAAAAACTAGAACTGAAATGATCCTCAAATAATGAGCTCATGACGACATAAAACCAAGAAACCACAAAAATTATCAACGAAGATAATATTAACTACAAAGAAAGAAGATTTCATTTCAGTAACTTTCTAAACACTGATAAACTGGAATCAAGCTTTCTAAGATGAAACGATAAACCGCTTCTAACAGTTAAACCTCAAACGGAAAAATTTCTTTTTCCAATCTTCAATTTGGAGGTTAGAACCGTTATGAGATTCACGTTGTTCGATCAAAAATGGACAGCCCCAACATGGTTACTTTTGGCGAATGTTTGTCAATCAGGAAGAAAGGTGCACGACCAGTCAAGCACTTGAACATGACAACTGGTGTTTTAAAAACCATTCTTTTCCCTAATGTCAGCCAGTTTAACTCTTTGAGCAACGGGAAAGCGTGATTAAACATTGCTGCACCACAAGCCAATTTTGCCACAAAAAATTCTTAATTGACCGGATAATTGCGATTGATTTACGAGGTAGAGCGTAAAAACATTGATGCAGAAGTCCACACGTGAATGAATGAAAGCATGCAATAAGCACTCATAATTTCTCATTTAGTGGTCTTCTAATAAATTTCGGTTTAAGTAACTGTACAGTGCAGGAATTTTTGAAAGCATTGTCAATTTAGAATTAAACACAGCACCCAAATTCACTGCTTTTGACCAAATTTTATATTTATGTCGTCTATAACAACTTAATCTGTTTCATCATAGAGAGCTGATGTATGACGATAATGAATCGAATTTCAATTAACCCGCAACAAGTCTTGCTGTGGTATTCAGAACAGACTGCAACTCGTCACGAAGGAATAAGCCGACACGAAACATAATCGCATTGCAGTAATCAATTCTTCCACAGATAAAATTACAAACGAGTGTTTTTGTTGTCTCAGCTATCAAATAACGTCTGATTGATCTTATTCTGCTGAGTTGCTACACATGAATCAACGTATCAACGTATCGTCTTTATAACCGGTGGCAATCTCTTTGAAATCGAATCCGGTTACTGCACCACCGTCATTTTTGTCTTTTATACAAATAGATTTATTTATTAATTTTATCACAATAGGAATGGCAATAACAACCGCACGCATCAACAACAGCCTGCATTACGTCATAGGGCAGCCAGTGTATCATGATATTCTCGGCAAAGTCAGTTTCTAAAAAATTTCTATCTTTTCTATTTCACCTAATTCCATTTTATCTCACCTCATCTCATTCCATTGCACCTCGTTTCATTTCATCTCATTTCATTCCATCTTATTTCTGTTTTTGATAATCGCTGTTTTATCTCCTCGTTTTAATAGTTTTGATCTTTATATATATTGACAGCTTTGGTTTACCACGAGGCAAAATACTTCCGAGTGCCAAACAAATTTTGAACTTGAAGAGGAGTTGAGGGTTTATACAATTTTTTTTATAATCTATTCAATTTAACTTTAAATTTTTTTTTAAATTGTCATTTCATTTCGTATTTTTCTATCTCAACATGACTCATTGCAAGAAAATAAAAAGTAGTCATTAGTCAGTAGTCATCATGACATCAGATCTCAAACGAGATTTTTTTTCTATATAATTAAATTAACACGCGTAAAATATAAACAACAATCTACAAAAATGTGACTTCCTGTTTGTTTGAAATATCCCAACTAACATTATTTACATAGAAGTGCATGAAA